CCGGAAGCTATTATAATGATTACCTTGGAAACATGGAATAGTATTTCGAATGTCAATCCGGAAATTGTTACTTAATATCCTGTTAGTAGATAAGTGAAATTTTATATCGAATAACAACTCATTTACAGCTTCATTCACAGTGACCCTAATAAGTCTTTGAAAATAAGGGAGCACTGAGCAGTCATCTCCCCCTGTTATGGAACCCCTCAGTCACACACAGCTGCGACCGCAGTGGTGATATAAGTCAGCACTCCAATGTTATGCGAGTGTATTCAACAGTTAGGTCACCATCATTGATCCATATGCTTCATTTTATAACCGGTCCACAAAACTGCTCAACCAGTTACAATATCGTTGAAGGGTGACTGATTCACATCAGATATGGTTAAAGACTACTCATCGTGTTGATATAAATTACGAAATCTAATGGTCGACTCAAAACTTCTGTGCTTATTCCATGCAAGGAATTCCGTTTGATTGTAGCGCGGAATAGAGGTTCTAGTATAATTAGTGCTTCCTCAGGAGAACAAGGGAATTTTTATTATTATGTATTACTATGTTTAACTAAATCGATAACAGTGAGCTTTAAACTCGTTAATTTCATATACAGTAGTTCATATGTTTTAAAATACAAACACCAAATACAGTGTGTACGCATAAAACGCATTTAAAGTTATTGTGTAGTGGGTAAGCCTATAGTATGGGAAGCGACCCCTCAAATTGCACATTTTTCATTTGCACACAGTCTGAAGAAAGGTATGCATTCCAGTTGTCCCTACAGACTCATCACTATGTGAACATACTTCCTTACGGGTAGAATTGAACTAGATTTTACAAGCCCATCCAAAGTGATTATTCTGAAATCTATCATTATATTTGAGAGAAACATACTACACGTGATTATACAAAATAATTTAAAATTTTGATTTTTAGTGTTTCTTTCTATCTTTATTGCATTCAAACGCTTTAACCGTGATTCACCGTGTTAAGTCTGTATTACGTTCTCTGTCATTACTCGACACCCTTCAATTATTTTGCATATTATTTATACTACTCAATAATATTCAGTAGGTAGCTGCATTTTCATCAATTTCTACGCAAATGCGATGAAAATGATCTTGGTGGTCTAGTAATAGTATTCCGACACAAGACAGTGAATGGTTTTGAGAGTTCTTTAAGCCCTAACGCTTCAGCCTGAGCTATTTTGTTTACTACCCTACATATGTCTTGTATGCAGTATAAGAAGTAGTGCTATGTAGAGCGGAAGTTCTCATATGAGACTGGAGGTTCGCCATTGATATTGTGGATGCTTTGGCATTATTTTGGCAAGTTTTGCTGACTGTTCATGCAAAAAATTGGTTTGCTGGTTAACCGATTTCATCTATACACAGATGCAGTAATTTACTCAAAGAAATAAACCATCTGTATAATGAAAGTAGGCTTGTTGCTACTATGTTAAACTTAGCAGTGACTCACTAATAACGATATTTGAAAAAAACAGTGGTTTAGAGTTGTACTATTTTCAGTTATAACTTATGTTGTAGCTATTGACCTAGAGTTCACCTACTGAAACCATAGCGAGCGTTGAAACTTTTCATCCGGGCAATGATAATCTCTCAGCTTGACAAGTACTATATTTCACTACTCCAATCCTGGAAGTTCATCAACCTTAATTCGTAGTTACAATATAACAGTTCTAGGGCTCCAAACGCCTAACTAGTAACTTCTTATTACCTTAATCGTTACGATTCAATCAGTAGTGAGAAGGACTTGACATACTCGATATTGGTTACAATTATACTCTTCTGATCAGTGCCAAATTGCACAAAATCTTGAACACCAGTATCCAGTCAACAATATCCAACTATCACCTTACATTTGAACTTAGTTTACGCGATGTCAAGTCACTAGATTTTTAGAGTCCACATTGCCACTTGGTCAATGGAATACTATCAGGATGTATAAGAAGAGAATCAAGATTTATATTTTATCAGTGGAGTCAATTACATCTATATCCAGTAACTGTGCCGAAAGTTAGTGCTAGCCAGAAACAGGTTGTGGTCTGTGCAAAGTTGCAGTAGACGGTCCCCGTTATCTGACCTGCGACCAACAAGTCCCCATCGGCCACCTAAACGACTCTCTTCTGTGCCTAGACGCCCGACCTGAGCATTCAAGTCTCCGGCTAGTACTACAATATCTGTCGAACGCACTTTCTGGAGAAGAACTGATAACTGGTGGTAAAACTCATCCTTGATTGCATCCGGGCTGCAATCTGTCGGGGCATAGGCGGAGATGACGAAAAGACATCGTTTCTCACGCCGATTTCTTCTCACTTTGATGGAACTTTCTAATCTAACAGCACATAACCGACTGTTAATGGGGATCCAATCGACTAGTGTTGCCTCAGCTCTAGCGCTTAGTGCGACACCAACGCCAGCAAGACCAGACGAAGATGCCACAGGGTCCCCGGATAAGCGCACGTAAAACAAGCTTTTCGAAGCGACAGATGGAGATCGAATTTGTAGTACTTCGCCAGAGTCTTGAATACGGGTCTCGGATAGACAACACACGTCGATATTAAGACTTTCCAAAGACATAGCCAGCCCTATCTGTTGTCCGACCTGCATAAATGTGCGAACGTTGAAGGCAGCCAGTTTGAATGGTGCGCGTGGTTTCAGAAAAACTGCTTCAGTCCTCGTATTCGGTGGTAGCATACAATTTTCAACCGGACAGTGACTCGAGAACGTTTAGATACAGTCGGATTTCCACCAAAGACGAGCCGCTGTATAAGTATAAAAGAGGGTGAATAATGTGGAAAATAATAATAATAATGATAATAATAACAATAATGACAATAATAGTAGTAATAATAATGTTAGTATTAATAATGACAATAATTGTAATGATAATAATCTGAATCAATTGTTTGTTTTTCAAAGCGAGAAATGTAATTTCCATAGGCATAAAGAGTTCATCAATAACAGTAACAGCGTTCAACAAACCCTTATAAACCTCTCCCCTACAATCCATTTTTCATCAGTTCGTATTCATTTTACATTTAAGACAACGTTGTTTTAAGAACAAATAAACTTTCTTATAAAACAGTAACTAACATGACTAATCATAAAGTAGGAACGTTGGACAAAATGGAAGTAGAATCCATACAACTCAGTCATTCAAAATCACACTATTTTATCTATTCTTTATGAAAATTGGCTTCAACAGTATACAAGTTCATGCATGACACGTTTGGGGTCACATTCTTCTGTAAAGTACAATCGATTGATTATGGAAATAGAATTGACTGTTCGTTACTATTGAACTTTATGATTGTCATATTGACCAGATGCCAAAATATTGCTCTAACAAATAAATAAACTAATTCACTATTGTGTTGTATTAATTTTATATAAATTAATTGTGATTATTTATATAAATAAGGGTGAACATTACTGTCCTGTCGTTAAAATGTAAATACAATGATTACTGGATACTATCACATAACATTAAAAATGAGCAATTGGATTTTGAAGAACTGTAGCACACCAATATTGTACCTCATTTCCATGATATTCGAGCAATGGTCAAAGAATTCTTTATAATTTAGACAGCTGTGTAGCGGTAAATAAATCTTTAAGTTCAATAGCTCTGTAAGTCTTCGACATTTGATGCTGACCACATTATTTTTAATGGACTCACCTAGTCGAATGTGCTCGGTCACACATCCGCACCACATCACGAGTGGGAACGCTGTGCTCAACTTCTCCTGCAACCGCTAGCCAGTGTTGATCAGTCCCTTCTCCATATGTTGACAACCTACCTAATGTATCTTCGAATCTCCTAGCTTCAGACTATTGATTCCACTGGGTGGACACAATTCAGTTACAGAATGTATTACTGTTTAAAACGTTGTCAAACCACAAATAACTGTGGCATCATCAGCTGTATCACAAATGTCTAACTTAGCTGATACTTAGATTCTTAAACATAAACTCTATCAAGCAAAACTGTTGTTTTTTCGTTTCGATGTGAGGGGAAGCGATTGCAGGAAATATTAACCCTGTAAAATTTATATTATGAGACGATGAATGTTGAAATGCTCATTGGTAAATTAATAATTCATCTAAACGAACCATATTTTTGTATGTTGAATATGTAGATTGTACTGAATTGAAAAAACCTCCTGACAAACATCTCCATCAAGCAGATTGTCACGATTTGTTAAGAGTAGTTTTGTGATTGCTAACACCTCAAAATCATTACAATAACGACAAACTATCTCACATTTACAATAATCCACAACTATTTGATGCAAATGACAATGGTTACACAGTTTTGAAATGAAATTATATCAGTCAGTCAGCTACAACGTAGGACCAGGCACATATATGCATCGGTACAAGTTGCCACACTTCATTAGCACAACAAAATGAACATCGAATTCATAGAAGTAGTTACTTCACTGGTAGTAATATATAAAAAACGATTGTATATAAGGATATGATACGGGGAGAAGGAATTAATTCGCAGAAAGTAAGTAATCTCAAGGTTTAAACGAAGGCAGAGAGTGTATACACCGACGCCATTGTGATCGGTTCTGAGCCAAGTCACACTGTCTCCAAACATTGGTTACGATAGTCACGCGGAACACAACCAAGTAGTCTGTATCTACCAACATGGCTAAGACTAGAAGTTAGTGACCTCAAGCTTTGGCCGCCCCTAAGATTTACAATCTTATCAACTGATTTACTATTAATCCCTGATATGTTGCGTCTAACCTTGATTACAAACTTCAGTTAAATGTCTATGCCGCCGTCGTCGCAACTAACACCACTGTAAAATCATTCAGGCAGAACCTGACGACTTCGACACAGCTAAGTAATTCACAACAATTAGCCAACAAATATAAGCAAAGATCATACGGCATATTCGCTACGACAACTAGCATTTCAACTTAATGTTCCACAGTTAGCCGAAGATAATGCAAAAGTATGTTTAAAGGAATACACATAAGAATACGTTTGTCAGAACACTGATTAAATATAGAGAGCACTTGTGACGGTGTATAGATAAAATTATCACCGTTTTTTAAAATTATTTTTTATTTATTAGTCAAGGAATAGTGAAGTTCAAAATATGCAGTTTGATATAATTTAGTAAGCACAAAAATCATTGTTCTGGAAGGTTTCTTCGTATATCATACCACACTAGTCATTCACTGGAGTCGTAACGTGTCCCAGAAATATTGGTAGAGTATTATTCCAGATAATCGAAACGAAGAATGAATGATCAACACGAAATTCTACCTCAGATTCGGGAGATTCAGAGTCACATCCATCGAGCATATACACCGTTGCTGCAGCAGCTACGACACCTTCCTCATCAATCTGTACAGAATGATAAAAGAAGTCAACAAAAATCAAACTGAAAGTAAACTGATGCATGTTACACTCAGATAGAAGTTGTTTTATTCAATACTATATGTTTGATCGAGTATGAAATTCTTGGCAAAAAATAATGTAGCACTTCAAGAAAGGCTAATTTCAGCTCATTGATTACATGTTTTAATTATTTCCATTAGTTATTTGTTCGACCTCCGACAAAGTCATTTTGATGTACACAGTCCAAATTCCAAAGACAGAATGGAACACTATTGCTTAAACATGAACTAAAACAGCTATTAATAAATACTATTTCCGTAGAAGAGGACACATGCTTAAAGGCCTTTCCGTCAAAAAACCCCAATGAAATACTGGATACAAAACAACACCATCAAATTTCAAAATTTATCTCATAACTTAAATCGAATAGCTCTGAAGATAACAAGAACCAAAGTTGAAATATCAAAACCATGCTTGAGTTTCATTAATTCTGACTTCCCAGTTGAAGGAAGACTTATGACGCCTCATAGTGAAAACTGGGATTCTTCGGAAGTCACAAGGCCAATGCCCCTCCTAACAACCAGAACAATTTTTTGGTACATGGAATGTTCGAACAATTTGAGAGACCAGGAGGACCAGTCAAGTAGCAACGGAAATAGGGAGATACAACATAATAGTGCTCAGAATAATCGAAATCCATTAGACCCCAGCTGGACAGAAATGGCTAAATACAGGAGAGATACTGCTGTATTCACGTCACGAATAAGAAGATGCTCCACACACTCAGGGAGTTGTTCTGATGCTGTTCAAAGAAGCACGAAATGCACTTATAGGATGGAAATCTCATGGCCCTAGGATCATCAAAGCATCCTTCAAAACAAAGGAGGGAATCACAATCAATGTTATCCAATGTTATGCACCCAACAATGATAGCAGTGATGACGATAAAGACCAGTTCTACGAGAGGCTGCAGTCGATCATAGCGAAGTGTTTAGGAAAGGACCTGAACATTCTGATGAGAGATCTAAACGCCAAAGTCGGAATGGACAACAACGGTTATGGAGATATCATGAGACAACATGGACTAGGAGAAAAGAAAGAAAATGGGGAGAGATTTGCAAACTTATGTGCATTCAACAAACTGGTTATAGGCGGACAATATTCCCACACAGAGCTACATGAGTCTCACCGGGCGGAACACTACGAGGAACTCTTGAATAGATCAGCTCCATTGAATCCACCGGATATCGAAGCAGCACACAGACCATCCTATAGATGTCATTCCACCAACGATCGAAGAAATCAGGATAGTCATTAGGAAAATCAGGAGGGTAAAGCAGCAGGACCTAACAATATACCAGTCGAAGCACTAAAGTCAGACATAGACGTAACTGCAGACATGCTTTACACTCTATTCAGCAAGATTTGGAGGGGAGAATAAGTGCCGATGGACTGGAAAGAAACATACCTTATCAAAATATCAAAGAAAGGAGATTAGAGCAAATGTGAGAATTACACAAGCACATTACGGAGTACCTGACAACATCGTCAACATCATCCAGAATTCGTACGACAGAATACACTGCAATATCGTGTATGGAGGAAGGCTGACAGACGCATTTCAAGTGAGGATCAGAGTCAGACAAGGCTGTGTACTCTCGTCATTCCTCTATTTTTTTGGTGGTTGACTGGATTACGAAGACATCGATATCTCAAGGAATGCACGTAATAAAATCGACAAATCGGAATCAATTACAAGATTTGGACTTGGCAGATGACCTGGCCTTTCTATCCCATACACATCAACAAATGAAGGTTAAAACAAATAGTGTAGCTGCAGCCTCTCAATCAGTAGGACTCAACATACACAAGGGTAAAAGCAATATCTTCAGATACAACACAAAGAACACTAACGTAATCACACTTGATGAAGAAACTCTGGAAGGGGTGGAAACATCCACGTATCTGGGTAGCGTCATCGATAAACAAGGACGATCTGATGCAGACTTACGGGCGAGGATTGGCAAAGCAGGAGCAGCATCCCTACAGTCGAAGAACACATGAAAGTCAAAACAACTGTCAACCAACAGCAAAGTGAGAACCTTCAATACGAACATCAAGATAGTTCTACTGTACGGAGCTGAAGCTTCCAGAACTACCACAACCATCATCAAAATGGTACAAGCATTAATAAACAGCAGTCTATATAAGATGATCAATGTCGTTGGCTGGATACCATCAGCAACAGTATATTGTGGGAGAGGACAAACCAGCTTCCAGCTGAAGAGGAAACTAGGAAGTCACTGGAAGTGGATACGACACACATTGAGGAAATCATCAAACCGCGTCACAAGGCAAGAGCTTACTTGGAATCCTGAAGGGAAACGGAAAAGAGGAAGGTCAAAGAACGCACTAAGTCGAAAATTGGAATCACAAATCAGAAGGATCAATAGCAGCTGGAAAAGATTGCCCATGACAGAGTTGGATAGAGAATGATGGTGGGAGGCCTATCCTCCTTTATGAGGGGTAACATGCGTAAGTTGAATATGATGTAAATTATCCATTTATTTTTGACTTCAGTCAGCTTTAGTTAGGTTAGCATTATTTGAAGCTGCATCTCTGTCATTGAGTTGCTCGTAATCCAGTTATCAGACTATGCAATCAAAACAAGGCATTCAACAAGATGTAAGCATTAGAACACCATAAGTGCTTCATGGTCAGGTCTAAACAAACATTTTGAAACAGATACATTAATAATCAAGCTTACTTCGGATCTTTAAATGGTATCTTGATAGCTCGCGATCCCAAATCTGGTAAGATGACCATACTGAAACAGGATAGATTATACATTAACTTCACGTTCATTGTTGATCCGTCAAGTTTGAAGAAATCGCTGTCATGTGAATCCTCCTTACGGAAATGTGGACCCCATAAACCTGTCAAAGGTAACCACACATAGAGTTGACAGCAGATATAAAACACAGTAGTAAAAAAAAAAACTCAGGTAATAAATGTTTGATTTGAATATACTATTGTTGACGACTAAATAAATAATACTACCTTTAAAGTATGTAGTGGATAGCACAACAGCTGACGTTTCTTGCGATATAGCCACACGTGGGATCAGTTCCTGGATTGTTCCGTTGGTTTGTTCACTAACCCACTGATTAATTCGATCTCGAGCACATTCAGGATCTGTATGAAACGCAACCTACACAAAGTTTGATAAGGCAGAACTCATACTCACATGCTCAGTCAGTGCATTGTAATGCTGCTTGATGATATTTCTAAATCGTTTCTCAATCTGCACATCTTCATTTACATAGATTCTATTTCCAGTGATTATCTCAACACTCTCATCAGACTTCGAAAGATCAGCCAGAAGTTCACCAATCGCGCTGTGGATTATTTCCTGTTCCAAGCAATCAGATAACTGCATCGCTTTTATCAACTCAGCATTCCTATTGTTTGCACTTCCACAGAGGATCATTCCGAGGGCAGTATAGATATTGAAAGGGGAGAGAAATGTATTCTCCAAATAACCTGGAAGCAACAAATACATCGTGAGGGACGCACTTACCCTTGTTTCTTTTCAAAATCTCCCTATAAAGCTTTTCGCTGAAGTTTCCAAGTGATTGTATTACATCCATCACGGTTGAAGTTAGTGTCAAATTGTCAGCTTGAAAAACTATTTGTAGTGGAAGAACACTACAAATAGTACGTGAATAAGTCATTATTAAGAACTGCGAAGTGATAATAGGATATTATAATATAGTAAGACGTTTTTGATCATGCAGATGCTTTAACTGATTCAGGTACATGCAATTTTCTTCATGAACATCGTAGCTTAGTGATTTCGACCTTTCTTTTAGTCTTATTCCGGAATATACTTCAACCGAAAGCATTAATTGTTTCATCATGTTAAAGACTTAGTAAAAGTCTTTGTTTTCACTCTTTGTACTGTAGCTGATATGGTACATCTCATATTTCGCTCTCAAAATGCAGCGAAGTTGAAACTTAAAGGAACTAGTTCTATTAAGCCGTCTCAAACACTCTGACCAGTGATTATACCAAAATATGTCTAACTGTTTATAAAAATCCAAAATGCTTTGGTCAACTATGTCGTTACTTTCGATTTATTGGAACAGTTGTTACGATTTTATCTCTTTACCGACGGTATTTTCTTAATGAGTCCTACCAATTAATATTCATTGCATGTTCATCCAAAAATCATCAAAATATTTAACAAACAAGCGAAAAATTACGCTTCATAGTCTCGATTTTGAATGATAAAATAATTCATCACAAACAAATTAAACCAAACAGTCCATGGTTGCAGGAATTACTAGAAGAAACAGGAGTTTCTTCAGCTCAGTAATGAAGTGCAATGCAAGGTCAACATAATTCACAGTTTTAAATTTCCTCCACTTGAAGGTCAGTCTACAGTAATAAGAATAGTAGAATGGTGGACCTGTGTTAATTCTAACATTGTGCCTTCCAGTGAAGGTTCAGCTTCTCCTTAGAAATTTTCACTGATAAGGCTGACACCACTTGTTCGGGTAAAGTGTTACAGTCATTGACCACTCGATGAGAAGAACGGAACCTCACTTTAAGTTTATTAGGTCTCTGTTTGTAAACCTCTTTGTTATGACGTCGAAGATTATTATTGTTAGCAGGAGCAATAAATAAGACGTATTTACACCCAAATCGTAACCAATTATACGAAGTGCCAATATAATGTCACCTCGCGTCCTACTATACGACAAGTTGGAGATGTTTAGGAGTATTAAGCGCCCGTCATATGGAAAGTTTAGAAAGACCCTTGACTCACTACGTTCCCACACGCCTAACACGCTGAAGTGAGTGACCATCGTCGGTCGGACATGGGACAGCTGCTTGAATACAGCACTCTAAGTGTGGTCATACATAGATGGGATATAAAATTCGAAACATCCCATCAACCACTAACATGCGCCTCCCACATGATTAATTGTACACAAAAGTGGTCCCTTACATACTACATTATGTCTCCTCACTTGGCGTTTATAACCCTATCACCCATCATAAAGATGTAGCCTGCAGTGATAGGAGAACAGTTAATTTCAACGATGATCCAAGTTTTATTTGAATATTAATTGGGATTTTTTAAAAGGATGACCACACCTGTCAGGCTGGTGGCTGATATAAATTAGGTAGAAAAGTCCACTGTGGGTATGTATTAGCTGATACATGACCTACAGAATCTGTTTTCCATGTCTTAAGTGATATCATAATCTCATTATAATACCCTGTACAATAGAACTAGTCGAGATAAATAAAAACCACGCGATAAAATATTGCCACTTCCAGAAACTCCGCCGATCACGGTTTACCCAAGTTTTGTTATTTTTGTTCATTGTGCTAAATCGCATGACGTACAGTTCAGTTTCATTCGTGCCTTCAGGCTGTAAAAGAGGTATAAAATTCGGCATTCACCACCCAATGTTAGCCATGTATACCCGTCATTCATAGAAACATCAGGTTTTAGAGATGATTTGCACATGTTGCTCAATTTGTACCGCCTAATCAGAGAACTCCATGCAACTACGCGGAGCACTTTAGGTACTTGCAGAACGGAAACGTATCAAATTGCCGGTGTTCATTGTTTGACATTACTCTTGTTTTCTGTTAACAGATGCAATGAAAACATGGAATGAATTGGGTCTTATTCCCCGACATCAGGGTGATACTAATAGTCACCTAGCTAATAAACAGATATTTGTTTTTAAAAAAGTGTATGTAGGTAGTTCGCCTAGTTTCAACAGTCCCTCTTACTCTTAGATTTTTGCGGTCAAGTGAAGAAAGGTCGTGTATGACCGAGATCAACTTCTTCAAGTGCTATCATCTTAATGGTGGACAGACAATAAAGTAATTTTACGCACTTGACTGCCTGGCAAATGAATTAAACTGAAGCTTCTACATAAGGCCACTTTTAATTCTTAGTTGAATTTCTCCGGTATGGTTCTTTGTTTATTTTGGCATTTCCACTCATATCTGAAGCAAACACGTAAACAATTAACATGTCGCATGCTGGTCGCTCGCTGGAACAAAGGACATTTGGACGCATTTTCTTTAGTGGCTCGGTTCACTGTCACTTCGATACAGCAGTACCTAGGTAACACTACAGGTATATGTTAAGTCTCCTTTGTCTGTGATTCTGACACATTTGTCCATACTATTGAAAAACACTGTGGCTGAACTCATAAGTTAGAAACATAGGACCTCATCAGAATCGACCGTATCAAATCCCACAAGCATATCAAGACCTTTGAGCACAGGCTTTGCTAAACGTGAGATTATGAAGAGCAACAATGTGAAGTTATAGACTAATGAAATTAGTAACTGTCGCTAATACTCCAACGACTGATTGATAGGCTTGTAAAGTGGTACTTATAGAAATAGTGTTTTCCAATAGGATGTGAAATACAGAGGATTGTGTGAGGCATGACATATACTCAAAAATAAGCTTAAATGAGCCTAACATCACAAAAGGAGGGAGTGTGGAGTTACTGACCAGCAAGCATTGATGGTGAGGGCTATGACTTCAATCCACCCGTGTTTGTGAGGCAGAACATTTTGCATGTATCAGGCTATTTATGATTGAGAATAAGTCAATCAATCTGTGATATACGTTGTCTTTCTATGCTCACCTCTCAGACTCATTTTTCCAATTTTATGCTGGATTAGCTATTCTACTAAGACAACCTATAACACGCTAACTCGGACTTTTACACTAGGATTGTGTGGCTGGCATCGAATGGACATCAAAAGAAAAGAAAGAAAAACTCAGAAAATAAAAGATATAGTCATTAGTATTCTTAACACTCCGCCATCTACATGCACATTCCCATCTAATAAACGCTTTCCTTGTATCAACCTTGATTTCGCTTCCTTCATGCGAGCTTACTCCAACTTTTTAAACGAAACAATTCATTGTTCTTTATTACTGTAGAATCCAAACTACGGTTTGGATGCTGAAGAATAACCGTCCAGGTACGTTAGACATGCGCCCTTACCCGTCGAAATCTAAACAAGTAATCGGGTAAATAGCGGTTCTATAACTCATCGTAAATTTAAATGTAAATCGTTACCTAAACAAATATTACCACCCGGCTATTCAGCCAATAATTGTTCAATCAATCAAATCTAAATTACCATTAATAAAGAAGCTGATAGAAGATGAGGGAAAATTACCAGTCACAAAAAATGAACGTTATTCTATCCTGACTGGATAGAACACACACAAAAGGAGGAGCAAATCAATATGGCTACCGCCAAGAACAAGTGTCAAGTAAAACAACACAGATGAAGTTCAGGAAGAAACACAAACTTAGTGAGTGCGTAAGAAAAACAAAAACTAATAAAAAAAATACAAGTATTAACAATTCAAATGTAATCAAAATACAACAATGTACAACTAAGGGGATCAATAGGAACAAAGTACAAGTATATACATGGAGGGATTTTCACCAACACACAAAACCTTCAAAATGGATCTTACAATTACTGAATCCACTTAAATCTAACAAGAGATAATATGAATTTAATCCAATTTATTATACCACTGTCTGTTCCACTACACAATGCTAAGCAACGTTTGGCGTTCATATCCAAGCACCTTGCTGCTCTTCTGCTTCTCTTTTTCTTTTCTTCAGAATCTTGCTCTGAGAGCACAGTCATGAAACTTCTGACGTCTGGAACAAACTTGACGTACGCGTCTCCTCAAGTTCGTGGTTTACAGCAAGCGCTCTACGAGTCCACTTTATGACAACTATAAACTTAATAATTTGGGAAGTATGCTGTGCGCCAACTAATGTTGTAATTTATAGATCATGCCTGTAAAAATGGCGTGTACCTGCTCATGCAGAAATATATTATAATTACTATTATCTGTTAACAGTAAGGATCAATGGGCGTACGTTGAAAATGGAATTGACAAAAACATGTCTCTCGAAAATCGAAATATGGGGGACAGAGTCTCAAGACGAAGCCCCTTAATTTGATCAAACATCCCAGTGTTGGAGAGTATTTTAATAGAGCGTCATCAAGTCGTTGATAAAATACACCGGGACAAGCAGTATATAATTCTGGGACAAAGTTACACTGCAGCCAGGCTATGTCGCAACGTGGTTAGAAATACACAACCTCCACCGAGATCAACTTTGGATTCAGCACATACCAGAGAGAAACGTTCACTGACATCTCAGAAATCATCTGTTAAGCGATCCTAACAAATCCGGGTTAGACACAACAAACAGTGGACACTGAGAGAAGCCGGCAAACAACCAGAAGCGAACCAATATGAAGGTTCTTGCTCTGTCTGAGCCAATGGTCCGTAGTCGAGATTAGGCCCACGAACACAATGTGCAATAATGGGGTTGATTATTATGCAGCACAAGTCTCCACACCATTTTATCTGTTACATCTTACTACAATTGAGTATCCACGTCCGATGGCTGTTAACTTCGGAAACTGAGAGGGCATGCGCAGCTCGATAAAAGAACCACTCCTGTCACATCAGGTGTCGTGAAAGCCAACCTAAAACGGTAGGATAACAGCCAATAAAACCCATTAAAACACATTTTGTCGTTATTTGACATTGATCAACACCCCGCGGTAGTGAATGCGGAGACCCCTATCATTCGAGTGGAACATGCTATACGGGCAAGAAACCCACAGCGACTAGTTCAAACAAAACTAGCCATCATACATAACATGCTTAAAAACCAGAAGGCTGATGCTGCTGTAGAGGAGCAATCGGTGATGAGGAAAACTATCGAATAACTCTGCATCAACGTGAGACGATTGGAGGAAAAACTAGGATAAATCGGAAACAGATTGTTTCAGTTATATCTGAAGATCATAGTCCTACCTCAAAGATGGCTATCATTTAACATCATAGATGAGGACGTGAGCTTCCATGGCACTACACTTTTAAGATAAGATAGGGCGCACAAATAGGAGGTGGAGTGGCGATATATATTGAAAGTAACATCCAAGCCTTAGCATCACACAGTGCCCCATTACCAAAAGTGGCAGAATCATGCTGGTGTCGCCGCAATTTAAATGAAACAGAGTGCTTGACTGGAAGAATAAACTGGTCTCATACAGGTCCTAAAACATAAAATGGTAAGATATGAGCAAATAAAGTTACCATGCCCAGTGTCCATTCAACTAATACTTCTTGAAGACTTCCACGCACCATCCATAAATTTCAACAAACAGCATACAATCTCTGTAGGTTTGCGGCTTGGTATAGCCACTAGAAGTGTAGGACGTATCGAACATATGGGTAGAGTCACGAGATGTGACAGGGACGGAAGACACTGTAACTCAGGGTGCTTACTGACAAATATTCAGCTTTCAGTTGGGGATGTCCATGTCGACACATCAATAGGAA